GTTGTTTCTAAATTTGGGCATCTGATTATTATTAACTACTACAATAGGTAACCAATAGTATTACAATATTTAATCTCTCTACATGAAATTAATTACTCAATAAATGTTGGTATCATTTTCTTTAATTTATACATAAGTATATTTAAAACCATCATTTGGTATTTAAAATTTTATTGATTTGTATACGTGTATAAAAAATTGTTAACAAAAAATTAAAAAAAAAAACTACATACATGGATTATTCAAAGAAGTTTACGTCATTATATTTTAAAGAGAATTAATTAAAAATTAAAAAAAAAATTAAATGTTATTAAATAAGTTTAAATTATTTTTATAACACGTCTCATAACAAATATGCTATTTTTAAAGGTAAATAAAATATTTGATAAAATATAAATAAAATAAATTTTTGAAACATTTTATTATCCCCATTAAATTTAATGAACAAAACTCTACTTATATCGAATACGATTCGAAGATTAACTTATATCATTTATAATTATAACAAACTAGGATGATAATTTAAGTTTAACAACAGGTTTAACAGTAACTTTTAATTCTATAAAATATATTTTTATGATAAAAGTTATGAGTAATATACTATATACCTACTTGGTTATATACTTAGGACAGCGGTTCTCAAAATGTGAGACACGCCTCCCATAGGAGGCTCAAAGCAAATACTTATATTGTATGTTGCATTACTATATATGTATTATTCAATCGACAATAACTTGCTTAAATTGAAATAATAAAAAAATTTTATCGGGGGGCGCGATTAATTCATTTTTATTTAGGTGATGCGTGACCCAAAAAGTTTGGGAATCGCTGACTTAAGAAATAAATATTTCTACACACATTACGATGGTACCTAATCATATGTTGTCGATTAAAGTAACCTTATCTAAACGTAAAAGAAGTTAAAGACTTTTGAACGAAAGCAAACAGATAAAACAAAAGGTAACTTTTTTTTTTTTTTTTAAGAAGAAAAATAATAACAAATGATCAATAAAATAAAAACGTTTGAAATGTCTACTACATATATTGTTACCTACTAACTAGTTTAAATAATAATTGTTTTTTAAACTTAGAAATAGATGATCTTGATTCTATAAATAATAACATTCATCTACCACCAATTTTATAATATGGAAAATTACGGTCATCCGATTAACATTAACCTGACTACTAAGAGAGTGGTGACCCCAAAAATTGTAGTTCGTAGATGGTCGGTACCGACCGGAATTTGATGGCGTCAATGCGTCAGGCGCACAAAATACTACATACATGGTGCAACTACCACGAATGGTCAGCAAGTAATCACACTGTTAAAATTTGCATGGTTACGAGCAGAAAGTATGTGAAAGACTTCATGACGACACATCAATAGAAAAAGTTTAAAACAATCGCGCTATTTTTAAAGTATCTATATTATCAAGATAGGCATATGAATTCTAAAGTACTTAAGATTATTAACATTTGTCCTTGAGTTCTTTTATTTTCAATCCTAAGATTGGTTTTTATCAAATGTAATTACAACAAATGTTTCCCTAATTTTCTTTATCCTTCATCATGACCTTTTTAGCTCTCAATAGGAAGTGTGAGATTTCAGCATCCTTAATTATTAGGCTGTGATTTTATTCTAGATCTTCTTTAGGGTCGTGTTCCTTCCAACATTATTTCAATTATTAGATTATGCAATTCATTTCCATGTCTCAGTGTGTGTCCAATCATCTGCCATCTCCTCCTTAAGGTGTTCATCAATGATAGTTTTCTCATATTTTTATTGAGACGTCATATGATATATTATTTGTTCAGTCCATTTTATTTTCTGAATCCTTCTCCAGCACCTTGTACCCTCACTTCATGAAGGTACAATGGAAATTATTAATTTTTATATCACACAACAAAGCCGGTTATGGATTTAAAATGCTTGTACTTCAAAAACTTGGTTACAGATACACTCCTCATCCGGCATACCATACTTTATGTGCTACGGATAGTATATTGATATGATGAACCATCATATCAATACATAACAATTACGTTACACGTTTATGAGCGAGCTTATGTCAGACGTTTAGGATTAATAATAATACCAACGAATCATTTTACGTACACTAACACACAGACACATGGGTGATTTTGAATAGAATAAATCCAATAGGATTTGTAATATTCTTTTGCGGGGATATCCGGAGAGAGGTAGTTTTCGTGGTAAATACTTAAGTACATATCAGCATTTATTATAGAGTAATACTATACTAAATCATATTTTAAAAATCAATGGTGTCCGAATCGAAAACAACAAATCCAAACAATAGTGGCAAATACTTCGGAGAGCAGAGGCGGATCTTTGGGGGGAGGGAGTAACGTGGCAATCACCCCCCCCCCTCGGGCTTTTTTTTTCTACAGATTTATTTAATATTTTTTATATAGGTATATATAATAATTTTATAAATACCTAAAAATTATGTATATATTTGTATAAGTAGGAATTTTCATGATTAATAATAATTGTAATCACGGTTCTATATACGACCGAGGTTGTGACAGAGCGACCGAGCTATAACCATTGATTTTATAATATACAGATAAGCCGAGGTATAAGAATATTCGGAAACCGTATTTTTAGATTTATTTAATCCGATATCCGATAGACATCGATAACCAAACGTAGATTTGTGTTATCAATAGCATATACAATGAAATACTCCATGTACCACACACATAGACATTGTAAATATAGAAGAATCCATTAATAGGTTTGCAAATGAAAAAAAGATATGTTGAATTATTATTGTAATTAATAACATTTGAATAGTGAATTTTTATAGGTATTTAAATAAAGATACTTAGTTAATTATTTGTATTAGGCGTTGTACTTATTTTTCAATAAATTTATTAAATAATGGTTAAGAATTCATTGTACTCTACATATCACTCATAAATATTCCTATTCGCTCCCCCCCTTACCAGGCCTTAGATCCGCCCCTATCGGAGAGAATAGACCGCGCCACGTTATTTTTATTAGGAAGAATGGAACAGTTTTTTTTACAACAATCACGAGTTTGGCTTAATGTTAAAAATTACTCCACTCAATCGTGTAATATAACAAATACTTTGTGTATGCAAGTCTCATGTTCTACATGTGAGTTTGCGTAGTCATTAAGATTCAAGAAATTGAAAACAAAATCGATTTACGGAAAGCGTAACATTTCACTTTATAACCAATAAAAGATACACATAGGTATATTTTTAAATCGATGTTACGCGATGAATGATTTGCGTATTTTTTAATTCGAACTTACATACGATCGACAGAATATTAAACTATCAATTTCATCATCAAAACTATCTCGGACTGTCCGTTACAGTATAGTATAGTACAACAGTATATTTTATTATTTCATTATTCAAGGGTTAGTAGACGCAATTTTATTGAAAAATTGCTGCGGCTAACTGTTACTTTTCATGCAGGGCAGGCTATAAAACTGATTCACAGCATTCTTGTCACAGGGAAAGTTATCGTTAACACTAAGTTATTAAACTTCACATCTTTCCAACAATATTATACTTCGTTTGGAATTAAAAATAACTTTGCATCCGAGGAACTCTTCCATTCTTGATTTCGATGAAGCGTTTAATGTCTAAAGGCTACTATCAAACTCGACTCATTAGAACATAATAATATGCCATGGAGTAGTGTTAGCGAAACCATCAGTTTTAATATTGCAACGATCTTTGTTTAAAAAATGTATATAAATACAATAAATAATTATAAGAAGTTGCGTACCGTAACTATTTTTTTTATTATAACAGAACACGATTTTTAAACGAAAATTGTAATAACGAACGGAGTACGCGTGCGCTGTTGCGATAGAAAAAAAGAGTGAAGTAGTGTAACGTACCGCACACCATGTCCCCAATAAATACTGTAAATAATATTTGTGCCGAGAAATTTTTCGTTTTTGTCAACTCCAAAGGCGGGCGCAACAAAACGATTTGAACCAATCGGAATCCAAAAGCGTGCGTGCGTGTGCGTTCCGAGGATACCAGTGGGAATAAAAGGAGAAGCTGTCAGTAAACCGGCTCGGATATTATTCGCCACCGAATACAATGGGAACGGATTGGAAATGCGGTCGAAATACGTGTAGGCAGTCAACAGCAGGTAACATTTAGTGGCCATTAATGATACACGTCGAAATTCGCACAGATCTATTGGCACGTGAAAACGTGATACATACAACGTTCGTAGTTATACGCGTTGTGCATTACGTGAACGCGAGGTTTCGACGTGTATAAAACCACGCGTTTACATTGGCAGTGGAATATTTTTTTTGAAAGAAAAAAAAACATACTGCCGGGCGATAACGCGACGAGTGGGATTTACGTGCAATACATAAAGTAGCATTATCGTTGTTTTCGTGCACGACAGGGGAAAAGAAACAACCAAGTGCGAGAAAATCAATCGACAAACAGGTGTGTAACAACACGTATTTGGAGATACGCGGTGCGCGGCCGCGATAACGGAACTCGACGAGCACCGCGCGCGCCGACGGCACAAGATTTAACTGCGATGGATCGAAGTCGAATCGGACGCGGAAGAATGTCTCGTGTTCGCACAAGTTTTCCGTGACGCTGTTGGTCGTTGCGGGCGCGTCTTAGGTGTCGGGTACACGACGTCGGTTTAACTCGCACAGCGCGAACGGAAGGGAAAGGGTTACGGAAACGTTGTGACATGCGCGCGGAGTAAAATACCGGGAACGAGTGACGGACCACACCGTCGGCACTCGACGAATTTTCGTTCGAAACGTGCGAAAATAATAATAAACGAGACAAAAAAAAAGAAAAAAAAATCGGACATTGATGCGAAACGAATTGCGCGGGCATTCGTAGCTACTCGTTAATCGTATTGTAAAGACAAGTACGACGACCACTGGTCGCGGGGAGAAGAAAACGTGCGCGGAAACGAAATGTGTGCGGTGTTTTGTACTCACGATTCTCGACGAATATTTGTGCTGTACCGGGGGCGGCGGCGTGACAGCGGCGGCGGTATTAGTTTTCCCGGGCTGGTTGTCGCGCGACGTCGACGCCATTTTCGTAAGGCGATCGCACGCGCGCGTTCTCTCCGACGACGACGACGACGACCACAACGATGATAGGTAGAGCGGCGCGCGCACTCGCACACGCACTGGCAGACCAGACACTGGCGCGGTACGCGCGTTCGCACTCGCACGTACCCGCCGATTCTCTTTCACCCCCGCGCCCGCCCGTCCGAACGCTCACTCGCACGCACCCGCACGACCGCTGCCACTACCAGGCGCGTGCAACGACATCATCGGTCGGCGGCAACGAACACGATAAGACAGGGGAACCGCGGGGACGACGCGTTAAACCGAAACGTGCACGATACGGTCGTTCGTCCGGACGCAACTGGCGGCGGGTCGCGCACCGATTGCGTACGAATGGCGTTCGCTGCCGCCGTGCGAGCGCTGTGTGTACGCAATGGTACAAGGCGGCGACGGAGAAAACTACACGTGAAAAAAAAATCGTCGCCACCGCCGCCGCCTACGGCTGTATAGCAGACACCGCGTATCGGCTTCTAACGTATCGCCGCCGCCCCTGATCTTTAGAACTATAATATTTATTATTATTATCAGTATTATTATTGTTATCACTATTATTATTGTTTTTCGCGTAGTGCGTGAAGATAGGTGTGAGGGGAACGCGCGGCGACGAGCGGACCACGTTGAACACGTTGGAACGTTACTCACGCGTAACGGGAAGAGGAAAACGAATGGATTTCTGAGCGGGCGAAAAAAAAAAAAAACTGACATCTGCGGACTTGGTCGTTGAAGATTTTATGTGCGCGCGTTTCAATATCGGCACCAACGATACATGTAATATCGATTGTAAGACCCCGGCGTGATGTTTCGAGCGAATGAAAAAATTAAGCGAAACGAATAATATGCACGTCCGGCTTATATACACGACGAACGTTATCACTGACAGCGGACGAACGGCGATCATCTGTAAGTAACGTAACGTTCGATGTATTATTGTAGGCGAACGATTTTACATCACGACGTACACATCGACGGGTGTTCGCGATAAATAGACTACACGACGGCTAACGCAATACAATTATTTTTAAACGAGATCGACAAAAATAAACACCGTACGTGTATTGATTTGATGGATGGCGTGCGGGCGACGCGATCGGAAATAAATTACGCGGAGAAATTTTGCGAAATCGTTTGTACCTTGCGACACAGCTCGTCACAATCAAGGGAGGGTTTAAGGGAGTGGCTAAGGGGGCATTAGCCTCCTCCTCGGGACTAAGCTATTTATTTTACAAAGCAAAGTATTATTATATATTAATAATTATAATAAAATATCGTCAATGGTCATTGATGAATATGGTAACTATTTTATATATTTTTTTTATAAATAAATAGCTCACTTTTGTTGTTAATTATATATATTTATCTATATTTTAAAATGGTTTCAAATTAAAATTGATACCAATAACGTAACTATTAAAACTTTGTCATTATTGTGGAAAAAATGACTTACTTATGAGGGACTCAACAACATGTTCTGTAATTTAAAATGTTATATACATTTAAAAAACCAACTAACTAAATGCTTAAACCTCCATTAATCCCTCCCTTGGTTAGTAATAAAACCCACCCCTGTGTCACATCGACCGGGTATACGGTTTTATATAATATTTACAGTACTGAGACACATCAAGTTCTCGTTACGCGAATATAGGATAAAAGTCGAAATTCGAGATCGAACGTTAAGCGAATAAGCGATTGTAAGCGGGGGCATAGCAAAGGATTACACGAGAGGCAATGTTGGTATACAAATTACAGCTACCTAAGCAAATTTCAACTTTTTTTTTCGTCATATTAAATGATATATCGGATAAGCCCCAATGATTTTAGATTATAATACCCTACATTGTCATACAGTACAACAGTATAGTCTGTACTCTAAATAATTCTAAAATAACTAACCTAACCAAAGATAACTCAGGGGAAGGGGGGGATGTTGTCAATAGGTGGGTGGTGAAAACGCCAATTGCCTTAATTTAATTTTAAACTCACCACACCACTGACTGTAAGATGTGACTATTAATGATTAACAAATACAATATACACAATAATCAGAATAAAACTAATTTTGAAAGCTTTAACGCACTATATTAACACCGAATTAAAAAAAAAATTAGATACATTGAACTAACCCTAGTTCAATACATCGATGTTCTGTTATTTAGGTATTCAACTTAAAAACATATAATTATTACTATTTATTTTACAATTGCTTGAAGAATGATTAATGCAAATAATCATATCAAACCTCATAACAAACAACCCAACAATATAAATAAATTACCGCAAAATAATGATTTACGTACTTCAATTGATTATAAGTAATTATAACTATTCTATTTAATACGATGGAAATAATTGATACATAATATTTAATATTATGTAATAATATTAAAATTTCGTATTATATTATAATATATAAACAACGTAAATCCGGTATATTTTACACGATACAAGTAGTTTTATAAATACAGTAGACGCCACTTATAACTCTCGGATAAAAGGTTCAGTCGCTTATTCGACTCAAAATCGTTCGGAACGATCCAAGCATATCCAAATTCAATGAAAAACAATCGGTTATAAAAATTCAAATTCGTAAGAAAAATATTAAAAAATAAACTTCTGCCTTAGTAGTAATTTATTAACATCGGTTAACCACCATAATCGGTTTAACCACCATCAAACAAAAAGTCTAGAGGCTCTAGAACTGTTGAGGAAAGCTGCTCATCACCGAATTCAGTTTAATATAGAACATTAGTACAAGTTGTATACTCCTAAAAAAGTTAAAAATAATAAAAACAAACTAAAATCATATGTTTTTAATAAATAATATAAATTGTCATAAATATATAATACGTTATAGTTGCTTTCTCAAAACTAATAAATTGAAAATGCTAAAAATATTTTACATCGTTGTACATTTTTTTATAATTCATTAAAATTACAAAAAAAATAATTTTGCAATATATAAACTGATTAATAATGTTACCATTATTTTAAACGTTTACTAAACATTATAGATCAAAGTAAATAAGCTTACATCACCAGTATTTAGAATATTTTTAATAAATATTTAAACATAAAATTAAATTTAAAAAAAGACAAAACTTCCAGCCAGGTGAAACTCCACAATCGGGTGTCATACAGGGAGGATAAATGAACGTTTTACTATAATGATCTTTTAAATTTTAAACCAATGTACTGTTGTTCTCGAAAAATAATTCGAGTTTGTGAGTCGGGTTGATCAGTTTATATTTATAAGATAGTTATCAGAACCTTATTATTTGCGACTTTCCAATACTTTTTTTTTTTTTTGCTACACAAAGATCTTATGAAAAATATTATATCTAAATTAATACATTTTGAATTAAGTAAGTATTCCAATTTTAATTTCTCTATTATATTTTTAATACAGAATGATTAAATAGTTAACAAGTAATAAGTAATAACATAACACATAAGACATACAAACATACGAGCATCTGTATAAATGAGGAATAAAATAATTTATAAAAATGAACTTTTGATTGCTTTACAAGCTTGTACTTTTAGGAATTATATTTTTCTATTATTATCTATAAATTAATTTGTATTAGGATGAAATAATAATAAAACTGTACTAATTTATTGATCTAAATGTTAAGTAACCAACTACGAATTATACAGTATCTACAGGTTAATTTCAATTACAACCCCTAGATTAAAATAAGGTAAAGTGAATTACGTTAATTACCAAGATTACAAAAACTAGCTAGTAATGAATAATTTAATAGTAAATTAAGATTTTACAAAAATTAAGAATTAGATCTATGAATTTTAAAGTAATTTCAAGTATAAACGAAAATGTTAAGGAAATAGATATTTATTAACAACTACTTAATAAAAAAAAAAATACAAATTACAAAACAATGAACTATTTTATAATAATTTGTCTAATAATTCAACAAAATAAATTAACCTAAAAGACGTGTTTGATAAAATCAAAATGAAATCTTAGAAAACAGAAGACTATGAAATTGAAATGATGAACAAAACAGAAAAGTTTGGTGAATAACGAGTTTTAATACATCAGTATTCAGTATTATACTTCCATATTCCATATTCCAGTAGTCAAAGAATCTAATGACTCTCTTTTGTTCCATCACTATCCACCATAAAATACGTTAGTCTGGAGAATTGAATCATGCGTAGTATTAAGAAAACTGGCACCCAACATTTGATGAATTAATATAATACAAACATTTTAACTTAATAAAATATATTTAACATACTGAAACATCTTGGATTTGAATTTGAACTCACATTATTTAACATTAATACACTGTTAACTCTATAATTGTATAGTTTATATGTATATCTAGGATAATATAATCACAGATTAAATAAAAACAGATAGTGTACTCCGGCATAAAACTACAGAATAGTTTAAATCAGAATGGACACTGAAAAAAAAATTAGACTAGCTCTTATGGGAGAGTATGGTAATTTGAGGTAAACTACGATCAGTGTTACTATAAAATATGGAAAAACAAAAATATTGTACACAATAGTATTGTTCCGCAGCCGTTTTCGCTGCAGCACACATGTGCACATAATTAATATATCTATAGCTATTAATAAACAACTGGAGTATAGGGCAAACCATATACCTTATACTAATAGTCAGAGCATGGTTGGCAGGGTTGGGTGGTGCGGTCACGACTATTCTCATATCAGTGTTGTCATTGTTAACGACATAAAATATATTTATTCTCATATTTATACAGTATATTATTATTAAAACATTTAAAAATCAATCTTCCTAATAAATAATCCCGTAAACTTAGTCCCCCAAAAAATAACCCTATAATATAAATGATTGTGTTTCTACCTAATTATAAATGTATAATACAATGTCAATAACTTATAAATATAAAATAGTCAATTTTTTCTATCATGGTAAATTAGTTAGAAATGTAAGCGAAACGATCGCCAAACCTGAAATTCTATTGGACATGTGCGTAATAATTGTGTAATAGTAGAACAGTGCACTCACGTCTGACTGCTGGAACTATACCCATGCTCCGTTTATTAGTATGTCTATGGGGTAAACACTTATTAAATGATCTAGAACAGCGGGTCTCAAACTGTGGTGGTAGGTAACGCGGAAGGCCGCATGGTGGTTGAACAGAAATTAAAAATTTGATATTTAACTCGTATATTAATTTAAAAACACTAATAAATAAATAATAATTGTATTAAAGTATTTGATTGCCTTTTTATTTTAAGTAAATGTATTTAATTATGTAAAATTTGTATGGTTCCAATTTTAATCATT